TTCTTGATGCATCAGATATATGAATACTATTAATATTAAAGACAAATTATTTTCATATGTATACAAAGGAAAGAGCCAGGCTAGCAGGGCTACCACTACCTCTCTCAGCCCTCTAGGCTAGCAAATTCCAGAAAGTAGCCTTCATCTGAAGTCTTATCTATGTGTTTACAGCAGTATGTCCCATTTATCAATCCATTCTTCCATCATCCATCCACCTCTCCATCCATCCATTCATCTATCACTCATTCATTTGCCCACTTGCCCAGTTTTCTGTAAGTATCATCACAGTTTTTAAAAATAAGGTTGGAAAAGTCATTCACTCAGTTTGTTTTGTTGGTCTCCTCTAAAGGGAGAGGAATCTGAAACAAGAAGGCCAAAATCAGCCACATCCATCCTAGGCTCAAATGAGCTCATCTCCATACCTGTTTTGATATTGATAGCTTGTATCTCATTTCATTTTCTTTTGGTTAGTCAAGCTAGAAATTTCAATTTCATTTATATTTTCCAAGGACCAAGTTTTTCTTTTGTTGATTTTCTCTACTATTTTCCTGTTTTCAATTTCATTGACCTCTAATATTTATTATTTCTTTTCTTCTGTTTTCTTTAGGTTTAAATTGCTCTTCTTTCTCTAGTTTCCTAAGGTGGAAACTTTACTGGTTTTAGACCTTTCCTCTTTCCTAATATATGCATTTAATGCTATACATTTCCCTTTCATCATAACCCACCCATTTTGGTAAGCTATATTTTCATTCTACTTAGTTTAAAAAATTTTGTTATTTCTGTTTAGACTACCTCTTTGACCTGTGGTTATTTGGAAGTGTGTGCTAAAATTTCCGAACATTTTGGGGATTTTCCACCCATCTTTCTGTCATTGATTTCTAGTCTAATTCCATTGTGAATTAGAATTAGTTTGTATCATTCTTACTCTTCTACATTTTTAAAGATGTATTTTATGACCTAGAATGTGGTCTAACTTGGTGAATGTTTCTTGTGAGCTTGAGAAAAACATATATTGTGCTGTTGAGTAGATTTTCTATTAATGTTAATTGGATCAAGTTGACTGATGGTGCTGTTCAGGTCATCAATATCCTTATTGATTTTCTGCTCACTTGATCTATCAATTACTGACAGAGGGTTACTGAAGTCTCCAGGATAATCGTGGATTTGTGAATTTCTTCTTTCAGTTCTCTCAGTTTGCCTCATGCATTTTGATCTTTGTTCATCCCATTACTCTCACCTATCTTAGTTTTTATATTTAAGTGGGTTTCTCATAGGAAAATATATATTTAGTCTTGCTTCTTATCTATTCAAATAATCCCTGTCTTTTAATTGGTGTATTTAGATCATCGACATTTAAAATGACTATTGACAAAGTTAGATTATGCCTGCCAAACTTGTAACTCTTTTCATTTGTTGCATTTGTTCTTTATTTTTTATTTTCTCCTTTTTTTTTTAACCTTATCCTGTTTTGAGTATCCTTACTTCTCCCTCCTGCACATTTTGACTTTTCTGTCATTCATTTCACTTATCCATATGCCATAGATATAACACATTTTAAAATTATTATTTTAAGCAAAAAGTTACCTTTTTTGATTAATTAATAAGAAAAAAAAATACTTTTCTTTTACCTTCACATATTCCTTCCCTAATAGTCTTCCATTCTTTATGTAGATTCAAGTTCCTATCCTACAGAATTTCCTTTCTGGCTGAAGAATTTCTTGTAGAGTAGGTCTGCTGGTAATGAATTCTCCTGATTTCGCTCCTGAGTAGATCTGGTTGTGAACTCTGGATGTATGTGACTCGATGTATCCAGATTCCATGGTGGTGGTCTTCCCCTGCACCACCAATTCTCTTGGTAGTTCCAAGAAAATTGTAGATTTTTACTTTATGCAGTTTCCTCTTACTGTGGGATAGGAGTGACAACTCCTAGGCTCTTTACGTGTTTGAGTTGAATGAGAAGTTCCTTCACAACTGTTTTAAATAATTCTCTGTGCCTACTTAGAATGCTTGAGTCCTGGCAAGTTGCTTTGCTGCCAACACCACAACCCCTAGCCTTCTTTAGATTACACACTCTTATTGCTGCCAAGCTCCCCAAATTGTGTCCTGGTCAGTTCCAAGTGTTATATAACCACAGGGACCTCAGGTGGAGCTGAGCAGAGCTGGTACTTCCCAAGGCTATACTCTGACATCAGGTGGTCTTGCTGCTGCTGCTGCTGCTAAGTCGCTTCAGTCGTGTCTGACTCTGTGCAACCCCATAGACGGCAGCCCACCAGGCTCCGCTGTCCCTGGGATTCGCCAGGCAAGAACACTGGAGTGGGTTGCCATTTCCTTCTCCAGTGCAGGAAAGTGAAAAGTGAAAGTGAAGTCGCTCAGTCGTGACCGACTCTTTGCGAGCCCATGGACTGCAGCCCACCATCCTGGGATTCGCCAGGCAAGAACACTGGAGTGGTTCGCCATTTCCTTCTCCAGTGCAGGAAAGTGAAAAGTGAAAGTGAAGTCGCTCAGTCGTGACCGACTCTTTGCGAGCCCATGGACTGCAGCCCACCAGGCTCCTCTGTCCATGGGATTTTCCAGGCAAGAGTGCTGGAGTGGCAGGTGGTCTTGAAGGAAGGCAAATCATGCAGGCTGGGACTTGCTGCTTTGGTTAAGGATGCTCTTCTGGAATCTAATGAGCTGTTGGATTCCTGTTTCCCCACATCATGGAGAGGAAGTAAATGCTGTGTAACGAATAATCTATAGACCCTAAGGTATGCCCTTATGTGGCCCAGTGCTTCATATGACGGTACCCTGACAGGCTTGACAAGGAAGGAATTCATATGGACTACAGGTGACTTAAACTTAATGTAACTTAAGAAGCGAAACTCTAGTTATCAGTCTCTTTGGCTGTATCCTCTCCTTTATTTTCTTCCTAAATAGTACTTTTGTAGTACTTTTGATTTTCCTTAACCATGGATAGGGTCATCTTATGCAGACATAGATTCACCTTCATCTTACAATGATTGAAATTACAGGGCAGGCATTATTCATGTCAAGCCTGATTGATAAATAGGATATGTATAATGTTTATACTCTTCTTAGATACTGGCACAGGGCAATAAAGAAGCAACCTGTCTGATCAATGTGATATTTTTGGTACCAAAGTGTCTGAAGCCCCCAGATCAATCTGATTAATCTTGTTCATATGTGGATACTATGGATCACAAAATGCCAAAAGATAACAAAAATTGCTCCCTGATGGCCCCCTCCAAGGGCAAATGCCTCCAAATTGCGGACAAAGGAAATTCTTCCACCTTTTCAGATAATGCTGTCCCCCACACCTTCTGTTATGGAGTGTAGGCTGTCATGGTGAACAACATGGTGGGTGGGAAGGGTGAAAAATACCGCAATGTTAAGAGTGTTCAAGCAATATACACTTTTGGGAAAATTTTCTCCCTTAAGCTGAATTTTAACTGTTTCACAATATTTCCCATGATGCTGAAGAATATTAGGCCTTGAAAATTTTTCTAAGATTTTTGGGAGTCATCTGGTCTCTCTTCCATTTCTCAGACTTCTCTGAGACCCCACAGGGGTAACTAAGAAGAAGAAAATGGAAGAGACTGGGGATGAAATGCAGAAGGGAGAATGTGAACATAAGTAGGAGGGTAAGAGGGGCCCAGAGGATGGAGAGAGTGGAAAGACTTGAGAGAAGACTGGTAACATCAGTGAGGGCAATTCCCAGGGCTGTACATGGACAGGAAGTGGGAGAATACAAGACATAGTGGGGCTTCAGCAAGTGATCAGTGAGAGAAAGAGTAAGACTGAGGGATGGAAAAGGAATCAGTGAAGGAAAAGGAACCGAGTTTAAGAGATGTGTAACTGTGTGACACATCTGCACACACACACACACACACACACACACACACCCCAACCACACAGGCATAGCTACCCAAGAAGGGCCCACTGTAGTTACTAACTGCATTGTGCAGACAGAACTACTTAGCATAATTTGGAAATCATACCTTATTTTGTTTGAGGGCACCTTTCTCTTTCATATGAGGGCAGTCCTTTCCCGTCACCACAGCTTTGATATCTGCCACCGGCACTGAAATTCGTAAGAGAAAATGAAAGTAACTACATCATGTGACAGCGTAAGTGTCCATAAAATAGCAAGACTAAGCATCACCGAGTCTGTTGGTACAGCTGCCATTCCCAGACACTATAGCAGGAAGAGAAAAGAGATGAAAAGAGGGAGAAGTCAGGCGGGCTCCAGAACAAGGAACTAAAATATACTTTTAATATTCTGGTAGAAAGCATTCCTGGGGAGAAAAATCTATGTTCATAAGTAGAGTCTGTTTCAAGAAAAGAAATACCTAAAAAAAAAAGATGGCACACAACAATAAAAAACCCATCATAGTTGTGTTAAAAGTGATGGCATTAGAAGGAGTAATAATAATAATAATAAGTAATAGTGGTACTGATACTGATTTTATGGAAGACATCTATGTGCCAGGAGCAAATGCCAAGTGCTTCATATAGATTGATATCTCTTACTATAGTAGTGACATCACTTTAGTTTCTGAGTTTTGGATAATAAGGGGAAGTAACCCTATCACAAAAAAATCTATCTGAACATAAACCATTCTGAACTCTCACTCTCCAAATTCTCCCTCTTGCCATCTCATTAATTCTCATAACCATTCTGTGAGGCAGGTTTTGTTATGCCTAGTTTATGGACAACAAAACTAAACTCAAATTAGGAAGTGGGAGAATACAAGACATAGTGGGGCTTCAGCAAGTGATCAGTGAGAGAAAGAGTAAGACTGAGGGATGGAAAAGGAATCAGTGAAGGAAAAGGAACCGAGTTTAAGAGATGTGTAACTGTGTGACACATCTGCACACACACACACACACACACACACACACACCCCAACCACACAGGCATAGCTACCCAAGAAGGGCCCACTGTAGTTACTAACTGCATTGTGCAGACAGAACTACTTAGCATAATTTGGAAATCATACCTTATTTTGTTTGAGGGCACCTTTCTCTTTCATATGAGGGCAGTCCTTTCCCGTCACCACAGCTTTGATATCTGCCACCGGCACTGAAATTCGTAAGAGAAAATGAAAGTAACTACATCATGTGACAGCGTAAGTGTCCATAAAATAGCAAGACTAAGCATCACCGAGTCTGTTGGTACAGCTGCCATTCCCAGACACTATAGCAGGAAGAGAAAAGAGATGAAAAGAGGGAGAAGTCAGGCGGGCTCCAGAACAAGGAACTAAAATATACTTTTAATATTCTGGTAGAAAGCATTCCTGGGGAGAAAAATCTATGTTCATAAGTAGAGTCTGTTTCAAGAAAAGAAATACCTAAAAAAAAAAGATGGCACACAACAATAAAAAACCCATCATAGTTGTGTTAAAAGTGATGGCATTAGAAGGAGTAATAATAATAATAATAAGTAATAGTGGTACTGATACTGATTTTATGGAAGACATCTATGTGCCAGGAGCAAATGCCAAGTGCTTCATATAGATTGATATCTCTTACTATAGTAGTGACATCACTTTAGTTTCTGAGTTTTGGATAATAAGGGGAAGTAACCCTATCACAAAAAAATCTATCTGAACATAAACCATTCTGAACTCTCACTCTCCAAATTCTCCCTCTTGCCATCTCATTAATTCTCATAACCATTCTGTGAGGCAGGTTTTGTTATGCCTAGTTTATGGACAACAAAACTAAACTCAAATAAAAAACGGGAACATTCCTTTCTGTTAGGGAAATGGTAACTGGCACTTATCTTGGAAATCCTGAGAATAATGCAGTTAGATAAAATGATGTTATCTATTGTCTTATTCAGGACTTGGGGGAAGATAAAAGATATGGAAAGGTTTTTGCCCTTAATGCTTTTGTTAAGATCATCTGATAGAGAGAAGGCTGCAGGATGGTTTGGAAACTTAATTTTAAAAACTGCAGAGTTATCTGTCCCTTTCCAACTCCTAATCTTTCAGTCCCTCAAGGGACTCTAGGGGCTCAGTTAGGATATGCAGAAGCTTTGACTCATCAATTCCTTGACTCCTCCAATGACGAAGATAATGAGAGATTTCACAATTAAAGTTCACCTTCTTTTATCGGGGCATTGGGTTCTGGGGGTGACATTTAGATGAAGATAAAACTACAAAATATATAGAATATCAAAATGATATAACAGGAAGCCTCTTTAAAAGCTAACATTTTCCGGGTACCCTAAAGTTGCTAAGAACTCTGTCCAAATCCTTGATACCTCCAGAGCTCTCTCAAACCCTAGAGAAGAGTGGTGCTGTGATGAAATCTTCCAGGATTCTCTGATGGCACTGCCCTGCTCTCCATCCCACCACATCTGCTCCTCTAGCTTGGACTCCTGGTTCTAGATTCCTTGGGAGATAGGACTTGTTCTCACTAGTAACAGTTCTGCGCACATGGAAGACCACGCTTCTCAGCAACTTTTGCATTTAGGTGGGGCCGAATAATGATTAGCTCTGGTAGTCAAACATGAGAGGAGATGGCCTGGCTCTTTTCCTGGCTGAGGCAGTGAGAAACCCACTTGCATCAGCCTCTCTTCCCCAGCCGCAGGGACTGATCAGGCCACGTGGTCCCTCCAGATGGTGCAGCTCTGGGATGTCAGAACAGCCATCAGCCTGTGTCCCTGTGATCATGCAGAGCAGTCCTTTGAAAGCACATGTCAGTTATATAATTGAGGAGCGAGAAATAAACTCCTGTTGTGAGCCAGTGAGGTTTGGGGGGTTATTATTCCTGAAGCTTAATGTAGCAATGCAGCCTCTTCTGAGTGGCATGACCCTTGACCTTGGACCCCCTTCCTCCCCTACCTGGCTGCTCAGGATCGGCATCTTCTTGATGATTCCTGAACTTTCCTTTGATCACAGCCACTGACTTCAGTTCTTCTCAAATCCATTTTCATAACCAACAATCAACCCTGTTCTCAGTGGCCAACCTGGCTACCTACTTGCTACTCTGGGAAGAGATATTTGGGCACTTTGGGAAGTTGGGTTTACTTAGTGTTTACTTTCCAGTGGAAAATGTACCACTGACGTGAAGTTGTGATATAATTAATGTACAAACTCCAAAACCCTTCTCAAGCTTCAGATGGAGTTTGAGTAGCAAACACCTCCTAGGAAGTCTTCTGCTGTTCAAATATGTAACGTGCTCAGTGAACGAGAGAGCGTGTCTATGATAGGTAAATAGTAAGTTACCCCTTGGCTTTGAAAACCCATCATGGGGAACAGGACAAGGGTAACACTAAGGTCTGTTGTGGGAGCAGTCTTCAGAATCTCTAATAAGAAGGCAGCAGGGGAGAAAAGGCAGCCTTTTCTGCACCATGTTGGTGGCAGTACATATTTTATGCATTTCATATGCATTGTCCCCTGTCAAGGAGAAAAGGTGCTATATTTCTCACAGGATTGCGGCTAAAAGGAAAACACAAAATTCTAAAAATATAGCATGGCTTTTAAAGATTGTTCTTTGCATAGTTTGTTGTTGGATGCACTGGAAAATTAGGTATTGGAAGGGCTAAAATGTCATCTTCTCTAAACCCACCAGCAGAGTTAGACTCACAAATTTGGAATCTAACTCTAAGGAGGTGACAGAGGGCTCTTGATTACTTCGAAGTAGGGCTAGGGTTTCCATCAGGTCTTCTTTATGTGGGAGCAGCATAACAAAGTGGGATTCAGAGATATTAGAACCAGAAAAGTCCCCATTGGGGCCCTAGCCCCCACTCTAACTCCTTGGGGCCTGCCCTCATTTCTTTCAATGCTATTTTCAGTTTGAGCTGGATTGAGACAATCTAATCCAACATTTCCATTTTATAGATGGGAAGACTGAGGCCTAAAGAGAAGAAATATGTCACATAGCTAGTGAGGGACAGAGTTGAGACAGCTGCTTTTTCTTCTATTCCATGGTCTCTGGCTAGGCTATGATTTTCTCCTTTGTTTGGAAGGTGTCAGCTCCCCAGATCATGCTAAACACATGTCAGACACAGCCCTGGAAGTGGTGATCACTTCAGATGTGTTCAGGAAGCTCTTCGATGGCTAATATCTGTGGGAGAAACTTTAATTGTGATTTAAAACAGAAATGCCACTGAAAAAGTAAATGTGGCCATCATGATAAAAATTGTTCTAGCTTTCACTCTTGAGAACCAGAAAGTTGAGGCAGAAATCACCCCAGGAAGCCAGTAAGTAGAGGCAGAAATTACTCTAGGAAGTAGCTAGTAAGCCACGATCACTTGCCATATACATAGCTCCACTGTGGAAACTCCTTTGGGCAGAGATACAGAGGAGGGGCAGGCTGATCCCAGGACAGTTCAGTAGAGGATCTGGCCTCTAACTGGGCAGTCTGGAGTGGCAGGAAGAATCACAGAGCCTGGATTTGAATTCTAGATGCACCTACTGGCTATACCACTTTGGGCTTAAGTTCTTGGAACATAAGCTTCCTTGTGGGTAAAAATCTGGACCGGGGGCTGGATAGCTGCATTCAGGTCTTTGCTCTGTTATTTACTAGACACGCGGCCTTCAACGGGTTACTTAATTTTTGTGTACCTCTGTTTCCTAATCTGTAAAAGAAGGGCAATGGTATCTACTGCTTCAAGTCAGGGGGAGGATAATTTGTTAATATGTAGAGCTCTTAGCACAGTGCCTGGTATAGAGTAGGCACTCCAAATATGTTATTTGCAATTATTATCAATAATCAGAGTTAATTCTCTTTGTAGATTGAGGGACCTGAATTACTTAGCATGCTTCAATGACCCAAATCGCGCCACTCTGCTTTGCTCTGGCCGCCTCTCCTCTCCTCTGTGGTAAGAGGCTTAATGGTCTTGTGTGAGGGACTGAGCCTTGAGCCCTCTCCTCCCGGCCTCTTTGATGCAGGAGTGAAGAGCGCTGGCCTAGATTCCCTCAAAGGGCAGTTCTGAGAGGTGGGGGCACTGCTGGGAAGCAGTGGAGTCTGGTTTTAGTGGGGTGATGAGAGTCTGCATACCTGGTGGGAGGAATGTGGGGCGAAGGGAGGTAAGGAGATGTGGACTTTTCAAGGGCCATGTTTCCTGCCAAACAAAAGGAATACGAGAGAAGAGATTTGGTAAAGTTTTAGGCACGAAGACAGCTAAGGAGTAGCCCTCAATCTCCACTCACACTCCTGGATTAAGAGGGTTCAATTACACTATTTGACTCATCAATATCTCAATATTCAGCACTGGTTAACTTAAGGGGTGGAAGACAATTTCCCCGTTGGTCTCAAGAGAGGGCAATTGTACATGGCAAGAGCAATGGCACTTGAAATTAATTAAAGGAACAGCTCATTTTTCTAGTGGAATGAGGTTTTTGACTTTGAAGGGCTCCAAGAGGATGGATTATTTTGCTCCAGGCAGAATGCAGAATTGGAATTATATGCAAACGAGGTGGCAGGCCTGAAGCAGCAAACTTTGGTTTCCTGGGCTGGGTCCCTCTTATTTCCTGCACAAAACAGCTTCATCTGACTTCATTACATGAATATTCCTCCTCCCTGGCCCACCTGGCACACAGATATAATCTCTTCGATACACACACATCTACACATGCACACCTGCACAGGTATGCATTCTTGGTTTATCTTGCAATGGGTAAACTGTTTACAGAGCACCTCTTCTGGAACTCTGAATTCCTAGATTTCTAAGGCCACAGAGGAAAGGGGCGGACAAGAGTTTCAGAGCCACAATCAGAAGGGACTGTTGCAATGCTTTCTCAGAACGAGCATCATGACCATGACCAAAAGCTTTCCAGAGATTTGCAGCTCTGTCCTGGCTCTTCTGCAACCATCCTGACAAGCTGGCTCTCCCTGGCATCAGCACTCCAGTTTCCAGTCCTTGGGGATGCAGGCCTTGGTAGAGCTTGGGGTCATCAGCTTGTGGGCAAGTCTAGAGACGGCCCCTACACAAGGCTTCGGTTCTGTCCATGCCCTGACCTTCTCTAGGGGGAGAGCTACTGACTTCCTAAGCAGCCGAGCCAGCTAGAATGAGAGTGCTGCATTTAAACTGCAATCTATGCCAATCTATGGGTTAAGAAATGGATTAGATCCCTAAAAAATATGGGGATAAAGATACATTCAGTGCGTGGGAGAGCCGACTCACTGGGCCATGTGGGTCAAGAATGAAACCAGATGTGTTTTCTTTTTTCTACCCCAGACCACTTTCTCTATTTCCTGGCCAATTTAAGAGAGAGGCAGTGGGAGAGTTTGTAGAGAGCTTCTGGTTGCTATGGCCAACAGTAACCTCAAACTCTTCATTTTACCACCTTAGAGCACTGATTCCAAGTGGCTGGCCTCTGCACAGTTCTTTTGAGCTCATGAGGGAGGATTCTCAGTGAGTTTTTCACCAGTTAATAGCAAAGACAGGAAAATGAAGACACTCATTTTTAGAGATGACATGAGTTTTTCATACAGCTAATTTAGTGCAAGGGACTGTCCTTTATTCCAAGGTTAGGCCTTTCTGGTCTTTCCTTTTTTTGTGATTGAGTCCTTTTTAAAATGAAAGGAGTGTGATATTAAATTTTAGTTAGATTTTCTTTTATAATAGCTTTTCTTTTTTTCTCTGCCAAAACCTGAAGTTGGCAACCCACTATCCACTCAGTTTTTTATTCTTTTAAAATTTTTACGTATTGGTGAAAGCCAGATTTAGGGACTCACTGGGAAGCATATCAGACAATATCTAGCCCTTCAGTTCTCACTTTAAATGTGCATCAGAATCATGTGGAGGCTCCATGAACCCAGAGATGGCTGCTCCATTCCCAGAGTTTCTGATTCATCAAGTCTGGGAGGGAGGATCTGGGAATCTGCATTTCTGTAAGTTCCCAGGTGATGCTGCTGCTGTGGATGGTCCAAGGACCACACTCTGAGAACCACTGTTCTAGCTTGTCTGTGGTGGGATGGAGATTTTCTGAGACTTAAAGGGAGGGTCCTTATCACAAAAACAGAGGCCTGGAATGACACCACAACAGGAATGAATGTGTAGACACTGTCCCAGACTCTGCAGTACTGGGTTTCAGATTTCTTTCCTTTCCTATTAACAGTGCTAATAACATGGACTGAGGAGGCAATGCTCCCATGAAAGGAAATAAGATTGCTTTCTGAACTAAATGACACTACAAAGACCAGACTGTCCCATTTTTAAGCTGGAGGAAGAGACACTGTTCCAGGTTGTCTGTCTGATATGTCAGCCTAGAGTCTGAGTGTGTCAGGAATTTGCCACTCATGGTTTATTTTCCCCTGTGATGGCTAAGAGCTGCAAGGAAGACAGTACAGACTGGACTTCCATGGGCCCTGGGGCAATAAGAGGGAGGTGCCAGGATCTAGGGGTAAGAATTTTATCTGTGAATTATACGATTCATGGCAGGGTCAAGGTGACTTTTAAAAGTTATTTTAAAGTGTCTTTATTTTTTCCTGTTTGATTTCTCTACCTGAGATATCCTTTGACAATATGTCTAACTTTATCTCATTTCTCTTCCAAATTAATTCATTACCTTTGTGTATTAAAAAAAATTTTTTTTTGGCCATGCAGTACACGGGATCTTAGTTCCCTGGCCAGGGATCAAATATACATCCCCTGCATTGGAAGCATGGAGCGTTAACCACTGGGCTGCCAGGGAAGTCCCTACCTTTGTGTATTATAATGTTTCTATTATACTTTGTTTAATTTGTATACTTTGTTGTTGTTGTTTAGTTGTTAAGTCATGTCTGACTCTTTTGTGACCCCATGGACTGTAGCCCGCCTGGCTCCTCTGTCCATGGCATTTCCCAGGCAAGAATAGTGGAGTGGGTAGCCATTCCCTTCTCCGGGGGATCTTCCTGACCAAGGGATCAAACCCTTGTCTCCTGCATTGGCAGGCGAGTTCTTTACCAATGAACCACCATACAGTCAACTATAATGAATAAAAGTGGTAGGGTATCAAACATACAATTCAAGTGAGATTATTTTGGATCATCAGAAAAAGACAGCTGACAACCAGGTTTATGCTGGTTTTGTTTCTTAGAACAGTACATGGACAAGTAACATAAAAGTGGGTGTTGGAACTCTAGATTTGTATCTTTCAGGACAGATGGGTAAGTATTCCTTTCCCAAACCACAAATCCACCAAGGTCTTGTGCTTGATGAGACGGCTCAGGCCAGGACTCACAGCAAGGTGGGCCATGTCCAGTGGGTTTACTTAGGTTGATAGTCTTTCTGTATGATATTCTGTGACCAGGAAATAACCAACCAACCAACACTCAGGCCTCCTACACAGAAGAGACACTTACGTTTGTCCTGCAAGGAATCATGGGGCACTTCTCCCTGGGGACTTTCTTCCAGATCTCCATAATGCAGGACCTTGTGGTTTGGTGAGAGCCGACAATACCAAAACTTGTCTGAGGGAAGGAAAAAGAAAAAAGAAGAAAACGCTGATTTACCAGGTAAGTGATTCTGATTTTCAAAGAATATGGACATCCTTATTTCCTCAGAGCCTTTCATGAGAGAATACACAGTTTCTTTGATTTTAAGTCTTCAGAAAGGAATGAATTCCAAGGGCTCTGGCAGTCAGCCCCTTCTCAATTTTTGTACGCAGTTAGCTCCTGTCCTTCCAGGTAGACATTTGGTGCCACTGGGAAAGTTACCAGATCCTTCGAGACAACGGCAACAAGTCTGAGGTAGTGACTTCCAGGGGAGTATTTCATCAATATCTATAATGATGAGGGCATGGTTAACTATTCAGTTGGGGCTGACAAAGTAGGGGGAGAGATGAAGAGAAAAGAGCTTTCTCAGAACTTTTCTGCTTCCACTTCCCTCTGTGAGAGTCTAAGACTGTTGAGATGGTTGTGCCATATCTCAGCTGGCATAGTAAAGTCTTCACCCCTGAGGCCTGTACCCACAAACTAATCATGAATATATTATTAGGAGGCTAGTAATCCATACACAAGGGGTGGGATTCATGAGGAACCACCCTAAGTCAGAAATGTATCCAAGAGTGAGGATGTCACATTCATCTCCTCTCTAATTCCTAGAGTTTAGTTCCCTTAAATAGGCTTGATCAATACCTTAGGATCATCCTTATAAATAACTCCCTCAGCTAAACTTCATCTGCTCCCCTAAAATGTAATAACAATTTTTGAATGAGCTTGTGAGGTAGTGAGAAGGAGGTAAAGAGTGCTTTTTCTAGATAAGAAACTTAAATTGTGATAGCGATCTTTATGTAGCTCTCAGGGCTGGGGTAGATGCTGCCTTCTCCGGGAAGCCCTCTGTGATTACTGCAGCCAAAGGGACTCTTCCCACCCTCTTAGCTGCTCCAGCGTCTCCTTTGATGATTGGTGCCTTCATGTTAAATCCCTTAGTATTCCCCATTATCTGCCACAGAGCTTAGGCAAGCAACTTGCCTAGTGGGGACATGGTGAACAGTTATTAACAGAAGAAGAAGACTCCAGGACACTTAACAGTCCCAACAGTGTGGAAAGCCAAGGCTCTCCGGTGACAGCCATGGCCTTCGTGACTGCACTGCACCAATCTCTTGGCACAATGCCTGCCATGTAGAAGTTGCACAGTTGGTATTGGCTAAATTTATAAATGAAGACTCAAGAGGACTCAGTCAAGATGTGTAAGTCACAAAACATCCATGACCTGTAAACCCTTTGTGCAATTACATAGTTGGCAAACATAGTGGCCTGGGTCAAATCATCCCATTACTGTGTCTACCAATACAAATTGTTCTGAAGCCAATCTGACCAGAAAGCTCTCTATAACATTTAACAAAAATGTTCTTTTATCTAAAATTTCTTTCACTACAAAATGATGCCTTAACTACAACTCTTTTAGTAGAAAACCAAGTCTTAAAAATTGAGGCAAAAGTCACACAGTGAACAAAGGAAACACCCTACTTGATCCACAAAAGCCGAATGCCTCTGTGATTCCTTTCTCAAGTATAGATAGGGTTTGAGAATTCCTGAATGTAGTCTGTATACAGCAATCCATGTATTTTAAAAAATCTAAACTCCAGTGGAAAAATTTGAGGAAGGAAAAAGTTATTTGAAGGCTAGGAAAACATCTGGAATTGCTAAATTTTCAAAATTCTGTTATATATATACACTCAACACAGGGAGGGCATTTCAAAGGGAGAAAATAAAATCATTCCCTGAATAATTCATAACCACTTCAATTAGGCAGCTTTCCATGAGGAGAACATATTTGAGAATTTGACTTGTTATTCACAATAGGAAAATTGCACTTTGATAGGAGTGGGCTAAGCTTCAGCCATGAGCACCAACAGTGCTCTTGGGGGCCTGGCATGATGGACTATAGAGATCTCTTCAACCCAAAGGACCTTCCACTTTGTCTAAATAAACTGTGATGACCACAGCAGGAAAAACTTTCTGGAAAAACTTGCTACAGTGCTTTCCTTCCCCTGCTACCTCTGAGATGGGACTTTGGCTAAGTGAGCAATTGTAAAAGGGTAACAGAAAGCTGGGAGGGAAGTTGGTGAGCAGTAGCACTTGGACATGCTGGTCTTATTTTGAGTAAGTCTTAGCCTGTTCTTTCTAGAAATTCCTCACTTTTCAAGCTGAGGTAAACTCGAGACTAGCAGTGCTAACATGAAGCCCAGGAGTCAATATGGCATAATCAAAGAAGACTGTCATCCTCAACAGATTTGGGGGAGAGTTAAGAAATTTAAGTGGTACAAACATTTATTGTGGAGCTAAATGCACAATTTACATTCATTTGCAACACTTCAAAAATTTGCTGCATATACTTTCATAGCTTGTCTATTTACTAAGTTAAGTCTGTTTCTCCATGACTGTTTGCAGAGTGCCTACAGTGCTCACAGGACTTTATTGGATGTAGCAAAAGTCATGAGGATGACAGGCAGACATGAGGGGCAAAGCCAAAGAGCTCAGGGAGAAAGAGTTCTTAGTGGCAACTTAAAGAAAGATGGTGGCAACACTTGTGTCTCAGGTCTGGGAAATACAGACAGTGACTCAGCAACTCTGCCTGTACTACAGGGAAAAACAGGAATAGGAAAGATCTCTTGTGCAACATAATTCTACATTCAGAGACTACTGAAATCAGTGGCTACTTATCATGATGGTTGAAGACAATCGTCTTCTTTGCAATGTTGTAGTCACTGTTTGTTTAAAGAAACACAAAAGGCTACCTGGAAACCTGGAAATCTACAATAACACTACAGTGTAGAGCTGACAGATTTTCCTCCTTCCAGGGGACTAAATTCTCTTGACTTCTTTTTTTTGTTTGTTTTCAGATCTGAAATCCCTGGGCTTCCCAGGTGGCTCAGTGGTAAAGAATCTGCCTGCCAACATAGGAGACGTGGGTTTGATCCCTGGGTTGGGAAGATTCTTGGAGAAGAAAATGGCAACCCACTCCAGTATTCTTGCCTGGAAAATTCCATGGACAGAGGATCCTGGCAGGCTATAGTCCATGCAGTTGCAAAAGAGCTGGACTTAACTGAGCATGCATGGGCACCCAAAATCCCTGATGTGTATGTATTTATTTATATATTTATTTATTATTATCGAGTATAATTTCTTTACAATGTTGCTTTAGTCTTTGCTATACAATCAAGTGAATCAACTATATGTGTATATATATCCCTTCCCTGTTGAATCTCCCTCCCACCCCCACACCTCCCTGCCACCCCCCTCCATCCCACTCCTCTAGGTTATCACGGACACTGAGCTGAGTTTCCTGTGTTACACAGCAGTTCCCTTTAGCTATCTGTATTACACATGGTAGTGCAATATGTCAAAAATTTTTGCCAATTTGTCCCACCCTCTTCTTCTGCCCTGGAATCTCTGGACTTTTAAGACACCACTGTCTTTTGGTTTTCCTTCTACCTCTGCCTACCTCTTCTTTTATCCCACAGAAGTTCCTTTTTGTCTACCACTAAAATGGTAGAGAGCAAACGATCTGTGCATCATCAAAGTGAGTGATGTGTTCTGCTCCTCCCATCAAATAAGAAGTCTTGGATGGATGACAGAATATTGGAAAAAGGGCTGAAGGGCTTGGGAAGGTTGTTTTGATTCATAGACAAATGGGTGGATACTGAGCCAGTCTCTCCCTCGGGATAAAGGCTGGAGTCATTAGCTCTGGGAAGGTTTAGAGGCATCATAACTTGTGTGTCTGCCTTGAAGGCAGAGCAGCTATAAAGGAAGCGGAGAGGCCGGCTCCAGCCAGCACAGCACACTGACGTGTTGGGTGAGACAGTTTCAGTGTTAGCCACTGGTGGCAGCTTGGTTTGCAGTTTCTTTTATGGTAAGCAAAACATGTATTTTCTTTTCAAAACCCAGCATGATGTTACTAGTTCCCCAGTCCCTTTGGGCAATGAATGAGTGGATTGTGTCACTAAAAGCAATTAGCAAGAAGCAGTGAGAACATTAGCAAAGATTGTTTACTAGCCTTTAAAGAGAAAGCAGGAGTTAATATGGAGGTCTTTCAGTCAATTACAAAATATTATTACATTAATAGCCATTTTTAATTCCCCAAACTAAAAAGCTGAAAATATGGAGATAATTTTGTGCTTCACTTTTTTCCTATGTGTGTGTGTGTGTGTGTGTGTGTGTGTGTTTGAAGGATCAGAGAGAAAAGCTGGTTTCAAAGCTCACAGCCTGGTAAGAAGGTCTCCAGGGCTGATTAAAGTTATTCCCAATGTCACATAGATCATTATGGAGCTAATCACCCCTGACAACTGTAATTCTTGCAGGAATATTTGATAGAAGTTTCTGCACCACTGCAAATAGTCTGTACTTGCTTTATTCAATAGTAAGAAAAGAAAATTTGAATTTTATTTAATTTTAATTAACTCAAATAGCTATAGGTGGCCATACGGAACAGTACAGTTCACTGACTATCTTCGTATCCAAGCTGCAGATAAGTGTAGAGTTGGCCAGCAGGTCTTTAGGGCAGATGGGCAAGCTGAATAATAGCCACCATTGTTGAGTAGGAAATGAGGTTTCTAAAGTGAGGCACAGACCACAGCAAGAACCGAGTCCTGATCGACTCTATTATGGACTCAGGGACATCCTTGTATTGTGTGCAAAGCCTACAGCTGGCAGCTGGCTGCTGGCCCAGGGGGCCCTAAGAATCCTGTGTTTGGGAGACAGGTGACCTTTACTAAAGCGAATTCTTATGGCACTTCCACTAAGATTTTGAATCTTTCCTAGGTTAACCTAAAATGTGCAAAGTCTTCAGTGTGCTTAGGGGAAGGTCCGCTTCAAACCTTCCCACATTACAAAACATAAGCGATCCTAGCGATGTTTTTAAAAGGAAATATTCTTGAGTTCAGTCAAGGAAGACAACAACCACAGATACAGAATGAAGGTCATTCTGCCTTTCAAATCGTCCTCACTACACTGAGCATTTTTCAGAATAGAGACTCCTGTTTTGATTCAGAATTCTGCCTCCCCGGAGACTCTTGTTTCACAGCAAAAGATAACTCCAGAGCCCTGAAGACATTTTCAAGATGGTTTAGCTTAACTGATGCTTTGGAGTCCACAGACCTTAGTTATATACCTGGCCTTGACACATCAGCTATGGAGTTTTGGCCAAATTATAAAAAATCCTTATGGACTCCTATAGTTCCTTTGTCAGATAACACTAAAAATTATGTGAGTAAAACATATATAGAGTACCTGTCATTCGTCTTTCACAGAGCCAGCTCTCAAATATCAGTACCTTGGTATCTTTCAACAGTAACCCTTCTCACCCACACTACTGGATGATTATCTGTTATTCTGATCTATTGGAAAGTGCCTTTTTCCCTGAAAATAATCTGGCTTTTATTCTTTTAACAATGTACATTTTATATATATTTGCCTTTTTTGTAACAATGAGTTATGATAAGGTTTAATGAAATATTAAAAGAAAACTTAAGTCCAAGAGGAAGAAACAACTGGTGCCCCAAATGGGCTGAAAATACCACTTGGCTGTAGGTCTTTGGAGAGAAATGAAAGGGCAAGGCAGGTACACCAACTGTGGCTGAAGTGCAGGGGCATGCCAACTCCTCTGGGTGCACATTTTGTTCATCCCTGGGTTTCAAATTAGATTTGTCAAGTTAATGCTTAGAGAAGGGATGCTGGTCAACAAAATGGGCACTGTCTGAAAAGAGAAGTAGAAATTGCATGCTATGATTTCTTGAAAATGACACTCCAACGTGTAGCCCTGGGCTCTAATCAAGACTACTCAATGCAAGTGATTCTGAAAGACCCTAATCTCTGAAAAGGAAGGAAAAGAGGAGGCAGTTCCGAGCCTGTAAGATTCTCATGAAGCAAATAATGGCTGGAATGTAGGCAGCTTCTGAGATTTCATCTTAACTCTCTTGAGAAACCCAGGGAACACAGATGCAAGGCAAATTTATCATAAAGGACTGTGGACAAGAACCTTTCACACTCCACAGTGAGTGCAGGACAGAGTGAAGCAGATATGTGACAGTCACTGCCACTCCATGGCCTGTGTTTAAAAACCTATATTCTAGGGACTTCCCTGGTGGTCCAGTGGTTAAGACTTTGCCTTCCAATGCAGGGGGTGCAGGTTCAATCCCTGGTCAAGGAGCTAAGATCCCACATGCCTTGTGGCCAAAAAACTAAAACATAAAACAGAAACAATTTTGTAATAAATTCAATAAAGACCTTAAAAAATAGTCCACATCCAAAAAAAAAAAATCTTTAAAAAATAAAAAAATAAGAATCTATATTCTGAGTAGCTATAAATTAAAATACTAAATGTCATTAATGAATATTTGACAATGTGCTGAGCACTCGACTAAGTGCTATGCATGCATGATTTTACTTAACTCTTGAAACAATTTGATATAGAAACTGAGATTGTCCTCACTTAACAGATGAGGAAAGAGAAGCACAGAGAGATCTATTAGGTTGCCCAAGGCTAACCAGCTAGCAGGCATGGAGGCAGGACATGAACACAGCGTGGTGCATCTCCCATGATTTACTGCCTCTCAGTTCTTCTGTGGTCAAAATTCCCAGAAATCCACATTTGTATATATCTCTCTTGGACTAACCAAGCAGCAGAGTCGCAAACGAGGCAGACAGAATGATGGGCAAGTAGAAACTCAGGGACCTTCTAGCCAAACATGGCATGATTAAGGGCTCTACATATGCTCCTCCCCTTTCCAGTTCTGTGGGACAGGAGGCTCTTTCCTACTTTCCCCCTAGAAAGTTAATACGTAAATCCACTCATCTGTGTCTAACTCCCTGTCGGACAAGTTTAGAGGGAGTGTGGTCATGCATGGGCCCTTTGTGCTTGCTCTTTAACCAGGGATATATTTCATGGGTGTCCCCGTCTCATATCTCACCTTTCTCAAAGGGACTCAAATAATTTTACACCATGTCCTCATTAACGTGTGTAAATCTGAATGGAATGTTTGGATGGGGTGATAGGAAACCAATTTCAGCACAGTCTGCTTTGAATCTCTATTTTTAAGCACACAAAGCTAGTCACCAGATTTTAAATCAATTTACCAAACCCCAAAAAGCCTTCCTTTCTGCACTTGGAAGGATGATTTTATACTAAACACAGATGGTCATGCTCCCTAGGGAGTTTAACTAATAAATTTATAGTCTAGATGCTAATCATTTTTTGCTCATTAGGTAATTCATTTTTAGAAAACTGAAAAAGTTGAACATTTGGAAATAACGCTTTTTTAGCCAAAAAACTGTAATTATGACATCTAGAAACAGAATTATTCTAATAGAATCTACTCATTTCAGCCTAGAAAGGGAAGTCTCGTGGTGGAGTAGACTGGAAGGTTAAATTGGCTTCTTTGAATTATTATTATATTCAGAAGAATTGTATCAATAGCTGGCCATGAATGGGGGCATTTGGTGGCATGGGTCTATTTGCTACCTCTCCTCTCCCCCACTTCTGTGCTCTCTCCCCAATGTCAAGTAAATAAAAACTTTATAAATTACCTAATGTGGGCAATACACCCTGACTATTGATTTTGCCAAAGGCAACGAGGCAATCAGGGCATATAACAGACAATCTGGCTAACTGAAATAACAGATCATCTGATCTTGTACTCCCATAACAGATGAGAAACTGTGGACCTGAGAGGTCATGGGTCCTGCCAAAAGACACTCAAGTGGTTGCTCACAGAGCTGAGAAGCCTAGAGCCGAGCCTACTCACCCCAGCTCCTTGTTCTTTCCTATAGGGTCTTCCAGAATAAGAGTAGCTAGCTTCTACCTCCCTGTCCCGCCCTGCCCCTTTTTTAGCTGCTTTCTAAGAGATGCATTCATGACCACTTTTCTTCCTCACAGTAAATTCAGGAGACAGGCCTTGTTATCCCCATTTCACGGGGGAACGGCCCAAGGTCACGGAGCTGGAGAGAAAGAGGCCGGATGGCGCTCACGTCCTCTGGCTCCAGGGCTCCTGTTCTCCTCACTGTGCCACACTCTTTTCCTGGAGCAGCATCCACGCTGATGAAGGTGCCCAAATGCATGGGATGCAGCGAAGAAGGAGCAGTGAGTCAGTCTTTCCATGGCTGAATGGGAGAGATAAGTCCCTTCTTCCTACTGTGAGCCTTTCTCAGTCCCAGCTGCAACTCAGCTCTTTCTTATTCTGCCCATTGTCCTCTCCTGAGGCCCAGCCTGAAGCTCACTGTCACGGTTTCTTATCCCCTGGGAATGACCTGCATTTTCATTCATCAAGGAAGTTCTGCCTTTGGACTTTTCTTAATATGATTTTTAATGGGTGCCTTTGAAATACTTTGAATTTACCCAACATTCAGCACAAAGCCATTAAAAGTAAATGGCCGGGAGGATGGGTTCAGTATAAGCATGAAGTGATGTATGTCATTAGTGGATGGGCTCTGTGATCAAGCAGGGCATCCATCAGGTTTCAAAAACATCTGCCAGGGTTTCTCCGGGGCCATAATTGATGTTTGTTCTTGGTACGGCTGCTAATGCTTATTCTTTTTCCTGACTGTTCCTGAATCTCTTCACCTCTCCCTGAGTCTTATATTTCAATTTTATTTTCTATTTGTTTCTAGGACAGTATGATATGAATACTTTGACTTTGCAATCAGCCATATGTCAAGAAAGCAATCAAAGGAGTTTACCTTCCTGGATAAGAAACAGCTGGACATGCTTCCCATCTACTGGACCTAGTTTAATGGCACCCATTTTGACTCAATATTTTGGGACTAAAATTTATAGAGACAATTCAGAAATTTCTCTTCCAAGATTATGAAAACTGATTCTATCCCACCTTGGTTCACTGTTTTTTATAGCTATGAATAAAATATTCTGACTTGGAAGAGAATCAGTGTGGGGATTTGAAAACAAGGGCCATCTATGCTGAAAATTCCAAGATCAAATCCAACAGTGGATGGATTCACTCCTGATAGCATAGCGAATCATTAAAAGTTAGGGCCATAGAGATGCTGGAGTTTAAATCCCTACTCCTCTGCGACTGGGCAAGTTACTTTGTACCCCACTGCTTTAGTTTCCTTCACTGCCTTAGTTTATCTATCTGTAAACTGCGTGTAATCACAGTAGCTACTTCATAAGGTTACTGGGAAGATGAAATGCATTAACATAGGTCAAGTGAGAGCCTGGCACAGGTTAAACACTCAGTAATGTTAGCTGTTGTGGAACCACCAGTGGCAGACATGAGGCATGAAATGGTTCAGGTGATGCTTCAGTTCCACGAGTCTTCTGCTGATTTTAGATTTTGATTCCTCCTGGGTCTACATGGGAAATTAAAACTTACCTGGAATAAGTTACAGCTATTCTTGTTCTGAGTACAATGCTGCTTAGTCGACCCTTAAACCAACACCCATACCCACGTGATTCCTTAGGGAGCAGGCCACTGCTCCCTGGCTAGGTCTGGAAACAATACCTTGCCTCCGCCGGCAGTTGAGTTTCCTAAAGCAGGTCCCTTCTACGAGGCGGTTCAGGCGTTGTTGTTTGATCAGCTCCAAGATTTCTGGCTGAATCTTCTCCTTTAGTTCCCTGTGAAAGGATAAACACATATTCCACAACACACCTTGAAAACAGCACTTGGCTGAAGGGGCACCACGGCAGAGAGGGCAGGTGCGTAAAAGCTCCATCTTTTCCCAAACATCCCCAGACCTCCTAGGTTGGGGCTTTAGAGAATCATTTATTAAGCATCAGTAAACAGGGTTATCTGTTGTAGTAACTTTATAGATTCTCTGACATTTACAGAATACCCACAAGAGCACCAATCACTTCAGTGACGTTTTTCTAGACCGACGTCTCCAGAGACATTTTGTCTCTTGTTTTATAAAGTCACAGATACAAATTTATGCAAAAATTCATTTAGTGCTTCTGAGATGATGAATCTCTGGTCATATTCTACTCCTTACAGCAGATAAACTAGACTACATTTGTGATATGACCAAACAGGAGTGATGGACAACCATGCGGTGACTATGATGCAGCAAACACAGTGTTGGTGAAGCAAAGACCACTTACAAAGGGGAATAGCATATCATCCAAGATTTCAGCCCATAGAGATTGGGATGATGGGGGTATAAATTAAGGATTATTTGCATCTTGTCTCAGGCTAATACAATGTAACTTAGGTTTAGATGTACCATGCTGTAAAGATATAATAATAGAGTACAGTGGGTTGTAAACCTTTTTTTTTCAAGAGCAGAGATTTTTTTTATCCTGTGAAATTTTAGGTAGCACCCTCGTATTTGAGTATATTAAAGCTAGAGTTTTTCTAGTTGCGGATGTATAGAGAGACCTAGAGTCTAGCCCTCAGAGCAGTATTGAAAGCACTGACCCAAACTCAAAAGACTAGGATTTCCATCAAGGCTCTGCTCATGATTGGCATTTCATGTAGCTCCTCTAAGTCTCTCCTCATCTGTAAAATGAGAATACGAATGTTTCCTTCCAAAGGGGACAGTGTGAGTATAAGTGAGCTGTAAGCACTGGGCAGGAATGCCAAGTGTTTCTGGATTTGCTTAGATAATACTCTTGCATTTCCTCAGGACAAACATTTCTTGTGCCCATAACACACTGCAGTCAAGGCTCACATTTTTCATAAGCTTCAGCTTTAACGCCGGGCTCACTCTGGATCATAGGCAATCTATCTTCACGTGGTATTCTGTTCCCAGGTATGAAAGGCACTACACATTCAGTCAGTGTGTGCTATGAGCCAGGCAGTGTACCAGGCAAATGTAGTTCATTTAACACCCTTCTCTCCTCCCCACCAAAGAACCCCCAACTTTGGGGAACAGGTATTAACATCATCAGTCCCAACTCACAGATGGAGAAACAGCTTACAGAAGTGAAGCCCTGAATAGGAGTACACAATCAAGTGTTTCTTGTGCAAACTGCTTCTATTCACTCTTGAGAAAAAAAATAAAGAATAAAAAGTGATATGAAAGGATCTGGCCAGGTATGCTAGTAAGCTGTTGATACATATTTGGACTTAAATCACCTCAAATACCAGGGCATTTGACACTGTTCCATCTGACCATTTTTAAAGCTGAATGTGGATATTCACCCCAATGATAGAGCTTGGTGTGTCTGCTCTATGTGCATTTACTTTTCTGATGTGGATCTCATCTCAGGCATTCAGATCACTAACATTACCTATTATCAGCGTTCAGTTTTTGTATGGACTCAGAACTGCAGTTTTGATGAACCCTGCTCTGAATGGACAAGAAGGTGGGAGATAGCCAAGCCAGTCACACATGAAAATAAATCACTGCTCCTGGCTTCAAGTTGGGTAATGAGATGCAGAAATCATGGGAGAGAGAAACTGGGAATTTCATCAATTCTTAGGTTAGAGATGCATCTTTAAAGAATAGTTTTCCTAGGCTAGAGTTAACTATTAAAATAGAGATGAAGATGCAGAGATAAGGACCAAAAGGAGGAACAACTGAAAGAACTTGATGATTTATGATTTTTAGTGTAAGAGCCAGATGTTGTCATCCTAGCACCTTCTGTTATGAACCATCTTTGGGGATGGACTGTCAGAATAAGTGGATCTGCTGCTACAAAGGTTACCTTTTCTTGTTATGAACCCCAAGGACCCCAAAACATGTTTAGGCAATGAAGGAAATGGAATAGCTTTTTCCTTTTTTGTACGTGATGTCCTCTTCTTTCCTGCAAATGGGCTCAGTAGCTGCAGAATTCACTCATATTAGGAAAATATATGTAATCCCTACATGGTGTTTCTGTGAATGAGATATGACCTCTAGGGGAATCCTGGTAATAACCATGGGCTGGAATTGGGCTTTGAAATTCTCAGCTTGGGGCCCATGAGGTCAAGGTCAGGGGTTCAATATTTATCACTTTGATAAATATTCCTCTATTTCTAGCTAACAGCTTCGTAAATAAATAAAAGGAGGAAGATTAAAGGAGGTAGAATAAATGAGTGTGTAAAGAGCAGTTCAAAGTCTAGCACTGTTTTTGGAAGAGAATTCCAAGTCTAAGTCCAATGAGGCAGTGGCATATGCAGAGGGCAGACAGCACCACTAGACTGGTGAGCCTCCTTCCTGGACCTGGTGTTCATCTCGAACAGAGGTTGCATTGAACACTGGCATTGGCTATGAAAGCTATGAGCAAAACTCGTGACCAGTCTTTAACAAGGATGTAGATTTGCAGGTCAGCCAGTAGCCATATTTCTGGCTCTGTTTTTTTCCCTTTTCTTCTTCACCTACTTTTACTGTACACTCCGAGATAAGATGAGGTGTAAGCAAATATATTCACAGTGTCAGTTTTACCATTTCTATATTGATAGTGTGACAACTTGTTAAATTCTGGTTATTGACTTATAGTAAGAGTGACTATTTCTCAGAGTGTTTGTTAAGTGCAGGGCATATACTAAGGGCTTTTCATGTATTACTTCACTGAGTCCTCTGAACAACTCAATAATGTAGACATTTTATCAACTTTATTTTTAGAAATGAGAAGAACAGGTTTAGAATGGGTGACAGAACTTGACTGAGGAGCCACGTTTCCAAGTGATGGCCTGGGAATCTGATCCCAGGTCTGTCAGCTCCTGGGTCTGCGTTTTCCACATTTTGCTACTCTGCTTCCACGGTGTTTGCCCCTGCAGCTCCCCTCCCCCCAACATCATGGCAAATGATCTATCTGGGGGTTTTTTAAGCTTTTTATATCCATTAACTCAGATCAATTGTGCGGATGAACTTATCCTCCCTGTAAAGTCACAGGAAGTAGAAAGTAACAAATACCTCCTTCTGAAATAATTAGTCAAGAGCTAAGAAAGAAAACAGGGCTTCTTCAACCCACTGAATACACAGTCTTCCAAAATATTTGTTCACCGAGAGTTTGCATTGTTCTTCTCAGGAAATATAAACATTATAAAAAGGAGATGCACGCCTCGAGGGATCTGCGTGGCTCTATTTGCTTCCACTCTGTGGGCAGCAGCCAGGCAAGGGGGAGAGGATGGTCAGCAGTGTTCCGCACGAGAGATCAACCATCCAGCCCAGCCACTGCCCAGTCTGCAAAATGAAAAGCTTGAACTGGATGACTTTAAAGTTGCTTTTCAGTTCTAAAATATGAATTCCTAAGCCCCAAGCTTGGGTTAGATGTGTCTCCTGTGTGCTCTCGTGTCAACCCACCCGCCTGCACTTCCTCTCACCTGGCACTGAGCACAGTCCCTGATAACCCCTGCTAATCTCAGCTTTAAAGCCTGGCACAGGGACAGCCAAGTGTCTCTAGTTCTCTGCCTGTCCCAGCACCTCGGGACCTTGCAGGAAGGAGTTACTCAATACACACTTGTTAAGTGAATGAATGAATGAATACAATCATACATGGTTCTCTGCATTTTCTTTGTTGTGGGTTTATTCCATGAGCCACTGTGGCAGTGTTTAGACTTCATCCAACTACAACAATGAGATCTAGCAGATCATTCTAACAGACCGAGCATCACTGGAGAAGCAGCTGGAGGCTGGTAGCCTCCTGCCTACTTCAGGGGCCAGGATAGGGATCAGGCTGGTTCATGGCCTCCCCCATGAGATAGCTCTGACAAGTTTTTATGACTTTACCAGAGCTCTGGTGGACCATGGTGCTTTTTAGTCCCATGCCCAAGTGATGATGCCAATGTTCATACATACAGGAGATTTCTTTTGTATTTTCATAGCTTCTCTGTACAATAAGCATAAAGGTATATAATAATAAATGTAAAGACAAGAGTTTCTTATAAAAAAGGGAAAGAAAGGGAGATGAAACTTCAGAACATCATAGCAGAGCCTTGAGAAGTAAAGATATGAAGTCAAAGCAGGAGCAAAATGTTTGTACTTGACAAGCACTTAACAGTCTTATTTGGAACAAAGTCATGGTCAAACATTAATTTAGAATCACTTGGCCTTTTGTACGTAACTGAAGTGGTCCCTTTAGACTCTTTTTAGGCTTTAAGAATTGTTGTCAAAAGCATAACAAAACTTTCTTGTATTCACACATCTGACGAAACAAACATTATGAAATCCAACATTTCAGTACTGTAGGTCCCAGGATGGGGCAAAGGGCCTCTGTCCCTCCTTGCAAGAGACAAACTGCATCAGGTATCACCTCATACCAATCAGAATGGCCATCAATGAAAATCTACAAACAATCAATGCTGGAGAGGGTGTAGGGAAAAAGGAACCCTCCTACGCTGTTGATAGGACTGTAAATTGATACAGTCACTATGGAGAGCAGTATGGAGGTTCCTTAAAAACTAAAAATTGAACTACCATAGAATCCTGCAGCCCCACTCCTAAGTATATGTGTGGAGAAAACTATAATTCAAAAAAACATATGCACCTCTATGTTCATGGCAGCACTATTTACAATAGCCAAGACATGGAAACAATGTAAATGTCCATTGACAGAGAAATGAATAAAGAAGATGTGGTACATATATACAATGGAATACTACTAAGCTATGAAAAAAGAGTAAGAAGAATAAAATAATGCCACTTGTAGCAACACGGATGGGCCTAGAGATGGGCTAAGTGAAGTAAGTCAAACAGAGGAAGACAAATATCATATAATATCACTTATATGTTGAATCTAAAAAAAAAAATGAATGATATAAATGAACTTATACCCAAAACAGAAATGGTCTTATATGTGGAATCTAAAAAAAAAAGAATGATATAAATGAACTTATACCCCAAACAGAAATGGTCTTATATGTGGAATCTAAAAAAAAGAAATGAATGATATAAATGAACTTATACCCAAAACATGGTCACTTGTGGTTACCAAAGCAGATGAAGGGGATAAGTTAGTAGTTTGGGATTAACAATATACACACTGCTATGCATAAAACAGATAACCAGAAAGGACCCACTGTATAGCATAAGGATATATATTCAATGTTTTTTAATGCCCTATAAGGGAAAAGAGCGTGAAAAAGTATCTATTTATCTATTTCTTTGCTATACACCTGAAACTAACATGACATTGCAAGTCAACTATGTTTCAATAACAAACTCTTTTAATTAAAAAAAAGAAATAAACTGCATCTCTGAGGAGTCAGCTGTTTATTCAAAGCTCTTTCTACGTGGTATTCAGGGGCTGTTATCTTCTTCTATTAATAGCTGATGACCAAAGCAAAACCCCAGCTCTGCCTCTTATGAGTGCTGCCTGCTGCTTGATGTGGATATGGCTTAGGTTTTACACAGATATGAGCTGCCCAAGGGGCTTCCCAGGTAGCTCAGTTTTAAAGAACCCGCTTGCCAATGCAGGAGATGTAGGAGATGTGGGTTTGATCCCTGGGTCAGGAAGATCCCCTGGAGGAGGGAATGGCAACCCACTGCAAATGACAACTTGCTCCAGTATTCTTGCTTGGGAAATTCCATGGACAGAAGAGCCTAGCAGTGTACAGTTCATGGGGTCCAAACTGTCTCATGCAACTGAGCGACTAAGCATGCATGAACCACCAAAAGCCCTGAGGAAGAATTTCCCCTCCCCTGCTGCCTAACCTCATCCCCCCAAAAGCCCACAGTTCTGCTCTGCAGCTTCTAGTAATGCTTCTTAAGGCTTGAAAACAAACACAGTAGATGCTATAGCTTGGCTATCTTTTTTTCTGTGCATTTTTTAGCACTTCATCTTAGCCTTGTATTTGGCAAAGCAGCTCTGGTAGGGGAAATGAAGAATTAGGTACGGGATCTGTGGTCTGGCTCCTACACGTGCCAACAAGGTCCTTTGCTCTCTAGACTATATTCTGGTCCTCGAGTAGAAATAAGACTTGTCTTCCTCACACAGGTGTGAGGACATGATACAGCATAAGGAACAAGAGGAGGTACTTTGCAAATCGCCAAGCACTAAACATATCAGATAAATTGAAGCAAGAAACAGAAAGCAGGGATAAAGAAAAGGAATCAGAGAGAGAGATGTTGACAAGGTGCTTCATGATACCAATGATGTAAGATGGTTTCATAGGAAAGTTCAGAAGAAGCCACGTTCAGTCTTTCGAGGGAAGTATGAGAGTAAATGTCAAACACCTTCTTTACTTCCCATCCTGTTTCCTATTTTCTTCCCTATGAAGTATAAGGTAACAAAACTGACCTAGTTCTAAGAAAAGGACACAGGAAGATAAACAGGTCAATACTAAGGAAAGATAAAGGAAACAACAGTCTAAAACAGTGTTCACGTTCAAGGTTTAGAACATCATAAAGATGGAGATGAAATTACACAACCATTGCAAGTGCACTTGATGCAAAGTCCTATGAAAAGGAGCCCCCTGGTTCTTCACCTCAGGCCTCTGGGTTGATAGCTACAAGAGATGTTCTGCTGATAGCCACATGAGATGTTCTGATGCGAGGCAGAGCCAATGGGGCCGGGAGGCAGTGGGTTGCTCTGCTTCAAGCTCATGCTCCCTCCCACTTATGACACTTCAATGTTCTTGTTTTAATTATTGCTAAGTCTCATTCTGGCTGAAGCAGAACATCTTGCCACTCAAGAGTGCCTATATAGACTATAGCTTTATGGACAAAACAAAAAAGATTGTCCCAAGTATTAGAAAAGTTTCAAGTCTTTTCAGCTGCAAATCCTTAGAGGACTCAGCAGTAACTGGGTCACTTCTTGGTTTAGATCCTCCTGCCAGCACCTCCTGCCTCCACCTCCCCGTAGCCCACCCCTGCCCAGCCTTTCTCAAGGAGTTGCTGAGACTTCAGGAACTGAGTAGAGATCTTTCGTTGGTTTTCCATAAACAGGTTGCAACACAGCCCAGCTGGGTGATAGGCTTTCACCCTAGAAACGGTGCGTCAGAGCTGTTAGAAGGCAGGGGTCAGAGGTAACTTACAAAATCGGGCGAGACTGGAAATCTTCCTGGTTCATCCTCTCAGACTGGCGGATTTTCAGGATCTCTGTGTAGCTCAGGTTCTGCAGTTTGCTCTTGAACTGGTCCAGGGAGCTAGGCTTGGTTGTAAGAGCTCTCATAACCTGTTCCTTCACCACCTGCATTACCTGTGAGATTGAAGGAAGACCATAATTTGCCTGGGGATTGTCCTTACCCATTCAGAAAAACCTTCTGAACAGATTATGTTTCCCTAGCCCCCAGTTCCCTTCATTTGCACTTTTGGCCCTAACTAAGTGGAGCATGCTTTTCCAAAGAGTCAACTACTATGATATACAGCTTCCATTTCCTCCTATACTACTGGAATTGCAAGGAAAAGGTGGATTGACTAACTTTGAATTGGGAAGGGAGAGGGAGACTTAGGGTGGGAGGATATATACCTATTCATTTGCTTGATATATTATATGACTGTAGATGATGCAAAGTCAAGAACAAAAGGAGTCTAAGCAACAGCTAGAAGTATGCATAATCATTGTTTTTTTCCAGGAGAAACTCTGAGACACAATTAACTGTGGAAGTTTGGTGGGCACTGGTTCCAGTGAATGTGAAATAATACCTACACCTGTCCCTCCTGGATTGCTTTCGCCATGTAGTTAAGGTCTGAGTGTTCATATAGATGATATATCCAGAAATGTGCATGTGGTATTGCCTCTCTGAGCCAGGCACTAAAAAAAGAGGTCTATTGAATTAGAACTGACACATCCCAGTGGAAGCCTCAAGAAAAAAGAAGAATATGGTAACTGGCTGCTACGGGACAGGTCCAGACCACAAGGAGGCAATTAACCATTGCCTCTATTAATGTGGATTCATCTTCATCCAAATATCTAGAGCAGGAAAAGACCAGATAACACACAGAGGCATCCAAGAGACTGTAACCTTCCTGCTGCTTTTCTTCAAATCCTCCATTACAGATGCTAACAATGATTGTTACCCTTGATAACATACCTACTATGAGCCAGATACTACGAAAGGTACTTCATATGTATTCTTTATTTTAATCTACTCAAATTCAGGATGAAGGTATCATCATTATTCCTATATGCAGAAACTGAAGCTTTGAAAACTTTAACTAGTCCAAAATTCTATAGATGACTAATAGGTGGTTGAGCTGAGATTTGATCTTAGGGCTGACTGTAAATGCTGTATTTTACTGCCTTCATACCAACATTCTGGGGTCATCTGCAACTTAAAAATAAGAGTAGATCACCAATGCACCTCAATTATGTGCTAGGTTCAGTGTCAGGCACTTTGCTGTTTGTTCATCAACTCATTTAATCCTCTTTTCAGTACAGTAGACTATATGTTTTTACTACTACTTTAAAGATAAGAAAATGGACTCAATATTGGGAAAAGAATCTGAAAAAGAATAGATATATGAATATGTATAATTAATCACTTTTCTGTACAGCTGAAACTAACACAACACTGTAAATCAAAAAGTACAACATTTAAAAAATATATAAGAAAATGGTTGCTGAGAAGGATTTTCTCTAAGGTCACACATATCTAGTTGAAATCTAAGATACCTGTGTGGTGAACAGAACATACACAATGTTGAACAGCCCTGGGGTACCACCTATCCCATCATGATGAATGTGATCTCAGTAAGCTCCTATGGCTTCTAAACAGTTATTCATGCAACAATTCAAGCACAGTAGATAGTAACTGCTCACTGCTGGGGAAAAAAGTATTAGCTGCTCAGTCGTGTCTGACTCTTTGCGACCCTATGGAATGTAGCCTGCCAGACTCCTCTATCTATGGGATTCTTCAGGCAAGAATGCTGGAGTGGGGTGCCATGCCCTCCTCCAGGGCATCTTCCTGACCCAGGGATCAAACCCAGGTCTCCTGTGCTGCAGGCAGATTCTTTACCATCTGAGCCACCAGGGACTCCTACTCACTGACTAGTCCCACTAAAATGTCAATATTTCATGAAATTTTATTGAACAGAAGTATCAGTCTTATAGCATGGAAAAGACTGCGGCAATCAGAACTTTCAAACCCGAGTGATGGCCAGGTGATGGGAAAAAAATCTCACCGCCTCAAGTTATATTAGGCAGCTGAAATGTCCTCCACACACTGGACAGACTGTTGCACTGGCTGAGATCTGTTTAATGGCATTGCCACTCTCTGATGGTACAGGGTGCCTTCTCCAAGCGGATGTCTCTCCCATAGCTGTCCTGTTACAAATAAGGACCTGTCCAGTGATCTGCTGGGGTCCAGAGGCATTGAGACACAGAACAAGAAAATGAATCCTTCTTGGTAGCAAAACCAAATGTGCCCTCAGAAAAACCAGAGCCTTGAGGGAACCCATAAGCCCATGAGTCCCCTCAACTCAGGAGTGTCTGATAGCTCACTCTTCAGTCATCTGCATGCACACTGCTTGCCCTGCCCTCATGTAACCAGGAGTCCTATGTTAACCACATTTTCCTTTAGTCAAACTGAACATGGCTGAACCAAGGGTAAGATGAGTCATAGGTGGCCAGGAGACAAACAGGTCTGTCTACTTTCAAGTGCTATCAACGCTTATTTTTCCTTATATGCTTCTAACCTTTAAGAATCCATGCCCACAGTAAGACTACCCACTACTAGGTAATCTATTCGCATTTTCATAGGGACTATCAGGCAAGAAGTATTTTATCGCAAGAAATAAATCTAATTGCAGGAATCTTGAGAAACTTCACAAGAAAATGTGAAGGATGACAGACCTATAGCATTCACTATGGATCTGCTTTACCCAGTAGGCAACACTGTTCTCAGAGGACTGCGTGCCATGCTTGCCCTGTAAAGAAGAGGTTGCCGGTGACAACACCGATGCAAAGGCATGAAGGCAACTGTCCTCCAGGCTGCTGACTCACGGGACTTTCTGGGGCCATGGCTGGGTTGCTCTCTGCAGTGTAATTCCACTGGTTATTAGGATTACCATAAGTCAGACTATATTTTAAAAAATATTTTTATTTATGTATTTGACTGTGCTCGGTCTTAGTTGTGGCACATGGGATTTTCACCTGTGGCATGTGGAATTTAATTCTCTGGCCAGGGATTAAGCCTAGCCCCAGTGCATTAGGAGTGCAGTTTTAGCCAATGGACCACCAGGGATGTCCCAATCAGACTGTATTGATAGAAACTTTTAACAAAAATTTGCTCGAGAAGCGTCATTTGTGAAGTCAAGAAAACAAACATTGCTGAGTGCTCATGGCAAATAGATGGAAACTGTGTCAGACTTCATTTTTTGGGCTCCAAAATCACTGNGTGACAGAGCAGATAGATGGATAAACATTGTTGGCAGATGGGAAGGTATTTCAAAGAAGAGGATGTCACATGAATTTAGAATGAAATATGCATATTCAGTGATGTTGAAATAGGTAAATAATATGGAAACTACCACATTTTAACTGCTTGAAACCTGGGCTATGTCTGAATTGGAACCAGTTACATAAACATTGTTTCATGCCCCCAGTGTAAGGGAAGAGAGGAAAATTTCCAGTTGACCTTCCACGTGATCTGCTTCTTTTTTTACTCAGGCAAAATGCTAAATTTGGGATGCTTCACAAATTTTGAAATTGTGACCATCTCATATCTTCGGTATAAATGGTGGCTAAATATGGTCAAGGCTGAATTATAACACTTTGTAGTTTCATGTGAGGGGCACTGCAGGAGCTGCCCCTTTCCTCATTTAGAGAAACTCAGAGTTGAGCCAAGGTTGTAATTGTTATCTCCTAATGTTACTTGACCTTCTAGGGGGAGGTAGGACATGTAAGAGAGACAAAGATGTAGCAACTAGAACACCAAAAATGAAGAGGTTTTAAAATAGAATTAGGTTAATGCTGGGGGAGTCTTAACAGCTCTCTCCACTTTCCTCATTTTATAGATGAGAAAACACAGGCTCAGAGGGCCAGGTGATTCTCTTATTTCATGAATTTCTTAAGGAGCTGTCAGAGATGACAGTCACTGGACCATGTGTGACTAGACACAATGATAATGTTAGTAAGAGGGCATGTGGCATGAACTGACCAGTCAGCATCCTTCCCAGACTTTTCTGACTTGACTTGAGGCAGAATTGAAGTGTGCTCTTTTCGCCTCAAATTGAGAACTGTGAGAATGTCCCTTAACATACGGCAGAGTGGAAGATAACGAGCCCGATGCCAGTAGAATCAGACACAAGAAAGTTAGAAGCATGTGCACGTGTGTGTGCGGGGGTGGAGAGAGAGAGAAAGAGAGAGACAAAGAATGTGTTAATAATGGTGACGTCATGTGAATGTACTAAGTCGCTTCAGTTGTGTCCGACCCTTTGTGACCCTTTGGACTGTAGCCTGCCAGGCCCCTCTGTCCATGGGATTCTCCAGGCAAGAATACTGGAGTGGGCTGCCATGTCCACCTCCAGGGGATCCTCCTGACCCAGGGATCGAACCTGCATCTCCTGCATTTCAGGCAGATTCTTTACCACTGAGTCACAGGGGAAGTCCAATGATGAAGACAAAATCAACCACAATGTCAGTTCAACTCTGATATTTGCTGGTTTGATTACATAAGCCTTTTTTCTGGAAATGGTTTGAATGCGATTCTTGTCATTTTCAACCAAAGATCTCAATGAAAATAAGCAATGAAGTATGCAGGAGTACCAATTTAAAAGGCTGACATTGCCCAGATTGGAGAAAAAATAGGAGAAGGACCTTGGGTAGAAACAATAAAGCTATTCTGAAAACAAATAAGTTAAAATCATCTTCATTTATATGCATGGTTGTACCTTTGCATGGAAATGATGATAATCCCTTATGCAAGTATGGGAAACTCTTCAGCTTTTACTTACACTCTGCACTTAAAATCCACTGTTAGAATTCCATTTCTCCTGCCTAAGACTTTGATCCCTGTAAGATGTAAGCATCCATAAGTGGGACAATCCTTTAAATCCCCAACAATCATTTACACTTTAGTTTGAAGAAAATATAGCCTTTTTCTTAAGAGTAGGTTGATAACGGTGAAGAGGTCTAGATGGCACTGGCCCCAGGAAAAGGGAGGCAAGTGGTAGATATACAGGATAAAACAGCAGCCAAATACTGGTTTTGCCTACCTCACAGTTTTGCTTGGCACTGGCCATTGTTCTATGGCCAAGAAAAATGACCTGAGCGATAGATGTCATTGT